ATAAGATAATTATAAGGTACCAAAACCTTACACTACATGTTGTATGTACTATTCATAAGATTGAATTTGAATCCTTCAACGGCTAAATCAAGCCGAACATATTGTGGTTCAGAAGCAAAGTCAGGATACTGAATATCAAATATTTTTCATGTTTTACCATAAACAGGATGATGCATTAAACTATCTTTGTTGTGATGATTTGAATGTCATATCATATATTCAATTTATTCTTACGTTTTAAATAGCTGTTATACTCTTGGGATTAATGAAACATACGAACAACCATAAGTAATTTCTTTACTATCTCTTTCATCTTCTAGAACTTTACTGTTATGATTATTCACTCATAAAGATGATCCATATTTATAACATACATTTTTGCTAGATTTATCATGCCATAATAACCCTTAGGTCTCGATGTATTTCTCTTCTTTTTAGTAGGGATCCTCCTTCCCTCTCAATTTATGTACTCTCTTTATTATGATTAACGCGTAATGAGCCACGAGCTGCTCTTTTAATTAAAAAACAAATATTTTTATAATTTCTTCATCTTATATATATGTTTTTAGGCAAAAAAACTCTTTCATAAAAGGCATTTTGCACAATTAACCTCTTTAATTATCTTTAGAGTTTTTTTTTCGTTCTAGAGAGAATCACAATTTATTCGTGAAATTTGTTTGATTTCTATGTTTTTTCTTATATTGTTGTCAACGAAACTCTGTTTATTTTCCATTTTGAAACCCTATTCCCATCACGTATTCTAATCGTGTTCCGCTGATTTTACTCCCTCCACAATCTCACAACTTGACACATATACTATGATAGCCAAAAACTATGGATTGAATGGTATGTACGTAAAAATAAAAGTTTAGATGTTCGACATGTAAACATATGAGAATTATTAGTTTGTATGTGCTGAGAATTTTAGGGCAAAGAATTCAAGAATCAATGCAAATCAAGCAGAAAACACAGAGATTTAATGAGGTTCGCAAATATTTCTATGTTCTCGTGAGCAAAGCGGTGACTTTTCTTTCAATTTAGAAAAAGAGTACAAGGTCCCCAACACCTGTCCCTTATCTGACATATGAACCAATTCAATAGTGTATGTATTTTAAGATTAGATAAAGAAGTTCGAGTTCAATATTTTTTTTGCAAATTTAAATGTTTCTCATCTAAAAAAAAGAAAAAAAGAAAAAAAGAAAAGTTTAAGCAGCTTTAAAAGACTGTTTTTTTAAAGTTGTAATTAAACAAGCTTTCTACAAAATCATAAGCTAAACCCTCACTTAGACTCTTAGCACTTAGCACAATTTAAGCCCAATCACCCGTGCTACAAGTCACACGTGCATGGCTGTCATGGGAGTAACAAGACGAAGCCTGTGCGGCTCCAAAATTGCTGTCTACCAATTCGCATCATTCAATATCAAGGCGATGGCAGTTGAGATTCACATAAATGCAGTGAAGTGATGTCTGCAGCACTCCCACACCTCTCTTCTGCCACCAGACCAAATTATGCGCTCCTCTTCTCTATATAAGCATTCGGACCAGCTTAGCTTCCCTAACTCACAAGACTTCGCCATTGCTTTAGCTTGGAAGCAGCCATGGATCTTCTCCTTCCTCTTCTTTCTTCAATGTTTCTGGTGATCGGAAATTTTATTTTATTTTATTTTTTTATTTGTATAAGATTCATGAACTATATGTAATTCTTCTGATTTTTTTTTTTTTTTTTGGGAGACAGTTTATAATGGTTGGGGAAGCAAATCATCCTTCCTTAGAGCCACAAGTCTATTGGCGCACCATTCTTCCTAATACTCCTATGCCAAGTGCTATTGCACAACTCCTCCAGCCAGGTATATCATGTCTCTCTCGAAAAATTATTATGACATATGTCCGGAGTCCAATCAATCACCTCTATGTGGAACTTGCAGGAAAAAAAAAAAAAAACTCGTTTTTTGTGATCTCTGACCCGGTAACACAAAGGAATATTTCTCTCGTGTTATTCCGTTTTATTCATGTGTTATTGTGGTGATATTTATGTATTATTGTGTTCTGCGAATATTTCTGGTGTTTTAATAAGACAATAACACCTGAATAATACAGATAACACGGGAGGAATATTTCTCTGTGCTAAAACAAATTTTTTTTTAATTTTTCCGTCACCTCCACATGGGGTGATTTCATTGGACTCCAGACGTATCTCTACGTATAAGAAAGTTCTTATCTACAATCATAAAGACAAGTTATGATTAACAAATGAGCGGATTTAAGGTATAATTTACAATTATATTCAACAAATTTGCTAAAAATAAATTATATATTTTTTTCTTGATGGCACACTAGTGGTAAATAACCATATTCTGTTTTAAAAGATCAATTTATTATTTTATTAATTATATTTAAAATGCATTAATTAAGTTCATTTTTTTAATAATCATAGTAAAATTATAACAATGATATTCATAATGTAGACTAAAAAATATTTTTGGTCCATGTACTAGAAAACATAAATGATCAATAATTTATCTTAAAGCTTATTATAACTACACATTTATTGGTTTATCTATTATTGCAAAATTATGGGTAAGCTTTCAATCATGCAAGTACCAGTCATGATCATTTTAAAATAAAAAAAGAAAATTAAAAATATGAGACCATATATTTTTGTGTTTTAAATATACGATAAAATTAATATATATTAAATTGTTTGGTAAATAATTTCAAAACTCCTTATCAAAATTAATATATTAAGTTGATGGTATTATGAGACCGTATTTTTGTATTATAAGTTGATGGTATTATGATGAATATCACCTCAATACCATTAATCTCCATTTTTACTGCATTACAGACGTGTACAACAAGAACACAGACACCTCAGTGACCGTCGGTAAGAACGGAGTCAACGTCAACACCGGCAAAGACACCACAGTTAGCGTCGGCAATGATGGGGTCAACGTCAACACCGGCAAAGGCACCACAGTCGACGTCGGTCATGGCGGAGTCAATGTCAACACTGGTAAGTCAAAGCCTGGCGGCACCACCGTTGGGGTCGGAAAAGGCGGAGTCGACGTCCACACCGGCAAAGGCACCTCCGTCAACGTCGGCCACGGAGGCGTCGGCGTCCAAACTGGTCCAAATCACAAGCCCGGCGGCACCACCGTCAACGTCGGCAAGGGCGGCGTTGGCGTCGTAGTGAAACCCAAGGGCAAGCCCGTCGTTGTCCACGTCAGCCCCTTCGTCTACAATTACGCCGCTTCCGATGATCAGTTACACGATGACCCTGACCACGCTCTCTTCTTCCC